AATGTCTATCACCTGTGTGATAGACAGACTTCCATCAGAGCCACAGGGCATCTTTCCACTGACTTCAGTGGATCAAGCCCCATATCAATTACTTCCCCCCAGGAGAAAGTTTTTCATGTCTGTAATTCATTTAAATGACTAGAACACAGGAAGGGACTGAGCAGAGAAGTTGAAAGAAAAACCAGGATCATGAAATGAAATGAGGAAAGCAATTCTGCAAGACATCCTTGTGATGAAGAAAGAGATTGAGAGGATAGTTACTCGTAAAACGAGATCAGCTCTTGTCACACCTCCCACCTTCCACCCAAAACCTCTGAAAATGCACACACACACCACCCAACCCCCTGCCACAGCCAGCAGCCCCTTTGATACAACATTGTGGGTATCTCTCTCACTTTAATCTTCTGAAAGCTGGTTCTGTTCTAGTTAAAATCTCAACCCATACCAGGGATTCCTCGTATCTTGCAGACACCTTGGGAGCTGCTTCTTTCCCTTCATTTTCTTCCAGTGTCAACACAACTTTTTAGATGCATCATGGCAGTGCTTTTTGTAGTCTTTCAAGTCACTCTTACTTTTTAGAATGCCTGCTAAGTCAATCATAAATTTATGGTTACAAATAACATCACTTTTTGCACTTTTATCTGGCTTCATTCACAATGCAAATACAAAACTTCAAAGTTGAGCAGACTCTTTTGCTTCACGATAGCCCAATTCCTTTCCACATTTCTTTTCAAGCATGAAACGACAGGACTAGCTGAGTATTAATTATTTGAAACTCAACCTGCATCCCAGGTCACAATTTTCTCATCTTTTCAGCCTTTAAAAGTTTTGTATCAACCAAATATTTGTTATACAGATCAATATTTGCGATGAACAAAATATTCTTCTTTCCACACAACCGTACTAGTTGGACATCTCAAAACCCAAACATAAATTCTGCTTACTGTGCAAACTCCAATCCTCCCACCCCAAGTTGCAATGCTATTCCCAAGTGGAAACCAAACTGCTTTCCAAAAATGTCACCTTTGAAGGCACAAAAAAGATAATTAAAAAAAGCCATTTTCTCTGTTTCCTGCATTGTCTCTTAAAGGCAACTGCTCTTCTGATAAAATACACTTACTCACTGGAAGATAACCTAAACAGTAAATGTTATTTTATCTTTTATTAATTTTTTCTGTCAGAATAGTCATGGCCTGTATTAAAATACGTCTGTACCTAAATATTGACCCAGAACTGACTGTAAACTTTGGTCAGCAGCACAGCAGGACTAGTCTAGTCTGGACACTTCCTGGAAGCTAGTCATTTGAAGGGAGTCTGTTCCAGTATAAAGGGTCATCTGAGTAATTATAGCATATAAGAAGATCAGTCCTTAATTCAGGTATCTCTTGCCATCGTTGTCCTAGTGGAAACACATTATCACCATAGCAAGTACAAATGTTGCAATGTTTACAATTTCACTGACTTAAATCATAAAAGCAAAGAATAAAAGTGCCTCCAGTCCTTTTTTTTTATGTCTTGTGATCTCCACTTGACAGGAAACATTTAGGTTCACGGGCTAGGTGTAACTACATTCTATTTATCTATTTATTCCTTTATTTTATTTATGGACCTTTTCTTGTACAGTTTGTTCCTGTTGTAGCAGCAAAACAAAACAAAACCAAAAACCTCCTCTGCCATTAAATCTCACTTGCTACAAAAAATAATCTTGGGACGAGTAAGACCCTTTGGTATCCCTCTGAAAATATGCTCAAGTGACTCTCTGCAAACGGATTAGGTTAGCTATAACAAACTAGTGGTCAAAAAAGACCATCATTGTAATTTTATATTGAACCTAGTCTGATGCACATGCTATAAAAGGAGCAAAATTAACTGCATCACCTGCAGGGCACTTGCTGCTCTGAGAATTAAAAAAGTCAAGACCAGGAGGGAAGAGTAAAAAAGAAAGGCTAACCAAGTTGAACACAGAAAAGTAAATTACACAGTAAAGACATCAAGATAAAGAAAGTATTAAAAGCAAGTGTTCAAGCATGTTCAAACAAAACACAGATACTGTGTTAGACACTGTATAAAACCAAGCTATGCCAAATTCCCTGTGCCCCACTTGTGAGCTCAGCATTAAAATAAAAAAACAGTGAGGAAGGTGTATGCTTCTTCAGGGAAATGTTTTTGAATTAAAAAAAAAACAACCACAGTGGTGTTGAGGCACGAAAGAGCAAAAGCTTTCGTGAGAGAGACTTTTGGTTGCATGAGGGATGTGGGTTACTGTCAGCATATGCATTTTTGCACTTTCACAAAAGGGAAATATGATCTTGACACCACATGGAAGGAGCCCTCCACGCTGAAATTTTATTGAACATGAAAGACACACTGGCAAGAATCTTTTTATGTCTGTATAAATACAGTAGTTTAAAACTGGTAATATACAGGTAACACTTAAATGCCCAAAATTATATACATTTCCTTTAACCTAACTTAGACCACTTACAAAAATTACTTGAATAGCAACTTCTCTACAAATGGACAAGAAAAAAAGAGCAAGAAAGAAGAGCTAGTTGTTGCTTTTTAGCTCAAACAACTGTCTTGTTGGGTTTTTTTGATAGCAGTGTTATATAGACCAGCTTGTCTGCTGTGATTGCCAACACATGCAGCTTGGAAGAAGATCACCAGGACTCTCATCTATCCCATTCACATCAGCCTGTCAGCCCTCTCTCTACACAGGCCAGGGAGCAGCCATCAATCCCAGACAATAAAGTTCCCCTTTTCTCTTTACAATAAGATTAGCAAATACATTTTTTTCTTAACTCCTTTTAAAAAACAGAGCTATCTAACAAGTCACTGCCTGTGCAATAGGTGGGGACAGGAACGTTGCGTTGCACTACAACGCTGTAGATGTCTCCATGAGAAAACCAACTTGCCCACCCACAACATAAACCCAACAGACTGCTATGTCTACCACAGAGCTGCCAAACTTCTCGCATGCCACTAGCAGCTGACACTCACCACAAAAAACACAGGGCTCACTCCAGCTGAATGCACCCTAGCACTTCCCTTGGCACCATTTCTGTGGCCTAAATTTCCTCCATCTTCCTAGCTTACCTTTCCCTCTCCCCTCCAGTAAAACCTCATTGACACTGCTGTCACAGGGGAGCTGCTGTGAACTCCCAGTTTAGAAACAGAATGCTAATGTCACCTGAAAGCAGATGCCCCAAGGCCAGTCAAAGCTTGCTGGTGGTGGGGTGGTCCTCCAGCAACAAGTCTCTCTCAACACTGCTCTGAGATTAAGAAAGAGCTCAGTATTATCACTGCCAGAGCACGCCAACCAAAATCTGATTATTGCCACTGCCGTAGTATCACCAAAAATCTTGTGTCTGTGGTGAGGATCCAGCCCTGCTACTGCTGCAGTTGCCTGCCTTCCTTGTGGCGATTGCAGCACAGGCCTTCTAAAAGGACGGGGTCTCCTTCCAAGGCCAGTGGTCGTAAGGGAGACAAGTTTTACCAGCATAATTCATGGCTGAGTGCATTTTCCTGTCTTCATTAAGGGTTTACACCAATGCTGCTACCTTGGAAGTCTGCCATCAATAAGCAGGTCAAACCTCTTAGTCTGGGAAAAGCCTCTCCATTGTTTTCTGTCTCATGAACAGTTCTTCAGTAACTATCTATTTTTTTTGGAGACCAGGGTGTTGGAAAACAATTGAGATACGAGTAAAGATCTCTCCTTCACCATTGAAAGTAAACCGTATGCTTAATAAGATGAAATAATTTGGTCTCTGTGGACCAGAAAACAATAGCCTCACTGTTGGACTGATACCTTGCAAGTTATGTCCTTGCGTCACCCAAAGCAAACTGGAATAGGGACTGCTCCACAGCTCAGATTCCCTTTAAACCTCTTAGCTAACCTCTTTTACCTCTTCAGGTTTCCCTCTTTAGCACAGACATGAATCAATTGCTTCAGGAAACCTCAATTTCTTTTAAAAAAAGTTAACTTTTATAAGACTGTACTCAAATCCCCTATGTTTCTTACAAATATCCCTGATTTTTATTCTTTATGCTAGGAGCTGAGATGCATAATGAAGTAAATAACATCAACAACTGTGACTGACTTAAAAGGAAGCAGCAGCAAGTAGAGCTTTGTCCTCACTCTCTCTGAGCAGGATGAGAATCTACTAATTACTTTATTACAGTCTGGGTGGAAAAAGGAGTGAACTTCAAATCAGCACAGCATTCAATGCAGTATTTCCTTTATAGTAAAGAACGAAAAATAACCCCAGACCTAGGATAAATCTCTCTACCCAATTCCTCCTTTTGTTTACACCAGGTTTGAGGTTACTTACACAGTGGCACAACACTAGAGATTCCATACACATCTCCACACCTTAGGGTATGTGCCCACCTTTAGCTGTCTATCTCTGAGAAGAAACACTTCCTAGAGGCAAGCTACTACGTAATGCTCAGGATGAGCAGTTCTTGCACCCTCCTTCTTTGATCTGTCAAATAAAAGCCACTGCAAGGATAAAAAAAACCTAAATGCTCTATTATTTTATTTTCCTGCCACAATTCTATACTTAGTGGCTCTCATTTTTAGAAAACTTTTTATCATTACTTATGCAGATAAAGAGACACCAGAAGCAGCCAAACGAACCATGTAAGGCACAATGAAATATTCAACACATATGTTCTCCTTTAAGATAAGACAATAATAACAACAGAACAACTGAAACCTGAGTCTCTTCCAAGTATACTGAGTTATGCCAGTGAAGTCAAATGGGCATTAGAAGTTTAATTTACCTTCTGATACTCAAAGGCACAGAGATTATCCCACTACTGAAAAATCTATCACTACCACTACAACAACAGCAACAGCTAGGGATTTGCAAACTAATGAAGAATACAATTCAGACACTAGAGAGAGGACAAGAAAGGAAGATTCCTCCACAGAGAGGCCCTTCCATGAGAAACATCCTCGGGGGCTACAATCTACTGTGAGCATAAAGTGCTCTTACCTGTGTGAGTGAGCATGTGCCGCTGCAGGGAATTTGCCCATGGAAAGACTTGAGGACAGTAAGGACAGGGGATATTTTGCACGCAGTCTGAATAGGCGTTCCTCTTCCCTCTCAGCAGCTTATCCTTGGCAGTTTCCTTCTCATCCTCACTTGTTCCATTTCTGCCACTTTCTTCCTTGAAATTGTCAGTGGACTGCAGAAACGGGCTAAATTTGTTAGCGTCTGTGGTAGCCAGCATTTTCTCTATGCTGGCAAACTCCCCACTTGACTCCAGATCCACATTACTGCTAAGTTTGGGCTTATTTTTCGTTCCTTTCTTTCTACCTCTCTTCTTAGTCAACCCAGCATCAGCAACGGGAGACTGCTCTGGATCACATGCCTGAGACAGGTCACTGGGCAGGCTGGAGTCTCTCTGAACAGCAGTCATGATTGTCACTTTAGCTTTGGCGTTCCCTGATTTGTCACACCCAGTGGAGCTGCTCGCTGCCTTGGGACTGGCGTCTGGAGCCTCTGTTTTCAGCAAAGCGTGAGCAGAAGACACAGATGAAATGATCTGTGCAATGGAAGCCAATGGCGGCAGCTCTTTAGTTACTGAAGGCTTTGGCAAGAGAGGTGGTGGTGCTGGTTTAGGCCTCAAGGGTCTCAGCAAGGCAGAATTGCCAGGGAGAGCTGGGGAAATGATTGGGACAGTCAAATGCAATGAACCTTTCAGTGGCTGGGGATGTCTGACACCCCGGTTTGTCTCTGAGCCCCCATTGGCACCAAAAACCAAAGGACACTGCAGACAGTTATAGGCTTTATCACTGTTCCCAGAAGCAGCCAACTCTTGATTCCTGGCTTCACATGGGACATCATCTTTATCCTTCTTCAGGATTTTGGGGATGGAGAGGTCAATAGGCTCCATGGAACAGTCGTAAAGGGACAGGGGAGAAGAGCCGAACAGGTTCTCCTGCTTCACTTGCACAGCACTCAGGCTTTTGCTCTTCTGAGAGAAATCCAACGGCTCATCAAAATCCATCGGGAAGCTGCCCACAGGTTCACGCTTGATGGAAACGTGAGATGATGTTCCAAGCAAGAAGCCATTTTGTGGCTCCAGAAAAGGCGCCATGGGCTTGTGGTCCATATAAGTGCTGTCCTCCAATAAAGAAGGCTCTGCCTGGCTCTCCTGGGCACTGCAGTCCACCGTTAAGATGTAATTCTCAATCTCCCTTTCTTGCACGTGCAAGTGCTGCTTGAGGATATGGTGAATGCAATTTCTCTTAGCTGAAAAGGCTGTGCCACACTCCTTGCACTCAAATGGCTTCTTCTTCTGGCACCCACTGTGTGTCCTCATGTGAATGCGGAGGGCACGGTAATGCTTCAGGTCCTCACCACACAGCTTGCACACAGTGTCTGGGGAGCAGAAGGCATCCACCATCTCTGCGGCATTGCTCGTGACATATTCGATGTTCTTCTCTATATCCTTCCTGGTCACTTTGAGGTGCTTCTTCCGCAGGTGCCTCTCACAATTGGCTTTCACTGTGAATGGGTAGTGGCAGATTTTACATATGTAAGGCCTTTCCCCACTGTGTGTCCGCAGGTGCCGGATCAGTGCTGCCTTGTCAGCTGCGATGTAGTCACAGATGTTGCACTGATACGGGGAAATACCTAAGTGAGAACGGATGTGAGCTCTCAGGACACCAGAGAAGGCAAACACCTGGTCACAGAAACGGCAGGGGTACAAAACTTTCCTCATGGTTGGGGTCTTCTTGTTCGCTGCCCCTGCAATGATGGCTTTGAGGTCTCCTTCTGTGACCTCTTGCTTGATCTTGGCTTCCATACTCAGAGGCAGGAGAGCTTCGATGATGCTGTCCTGCTCCAGTTGCGTCTTCATCTCATGCTGAGTTAAAGGCTCTGCTTTGGGTTGGAGGAGCAACTGCGAGGAAGGACTTGATTTGGCTCCTGGCTGAGGGAGATGAGAGTTGGAGGAGGACTCCACCGAGTTCTTGATCAGCCTCAGAGGGGGAGGTGGGAGGCTTGGGCTGATGCAGCCAGGGGAGGCTTGCTGGGCACTGATAAGAGGAGGAGGTGTAGAGGTTGCGACAACTGTTCGGGGCGTTACCAAAGGCTTTGGCTTCAGTGGTGGCATATGCTTGAAAATGGACTGCACAGGGACAGAAGGTGCCTTAGAAAGTGGAGGAAGACTGATTTGAGGAGGAGCGGAAGAAGCCATCTTTAAGATCTGCTGAATATCTGCCAGCTCAATGGCAGACTCATTGGAGATGGGTTTCACCACAATACTGCTGTCAGGCTGGATAATAAAACCCTTCTGGAAAGGCTGCAGCGAGAGAAGCTTTATGTTTTCTTTTGTAGGGGGAAGGACTGAAAATGACCCTCCCATGGAGGCAGCTTCCAGAGGAGAGAGGCTGAGCAGGGTGGTGCTGCCAGGTTCCTGAGGTAGGTTACTCTTCAGTGCTCTGAGCCGCATTTCTTGGACCTCATCCTGTGTATTGTCCTCCTGCTTGACAGGCTTGATGTCTTTGGTGTACTGTAGGCCCAAGGATGCCATGAAGGCTTTCTGGTCTGGATTCTCGCCAGGTGGGGTCATGGACTGTGGCTTGTGCTTGTCTTTTCCCTGATCCACCACATGCGTTTCTGTGTGCAGTTTGAGTGCCGAAAGCATGGGGAATGCCTTGTTACACATCTCGCAAATAAATCGATGGAAGTCACTGATGCACCTTCGCAAATTTGTTTCACACCAGACCTGCAAGACATGCAAAAATATTTAGAGTAGGTATCTTAAACTGGAAAGGCATCACACGCTATTGCAAAACAAAACCAGCTCACTCTTTTTTCCCCTGCCTAAGTTAAGGGGTTTAGAGCAGCCACCACCCATCTGGTATGGAGATATTCCTGCTCCACAGCCTTTAGTCTCCTAAGTGGTGTACCTGAATTAGGGGCTGATTCTCCAGAAGTTCCCCTCTATAAAGGCAAACTCCTTCAGATGGCTGTTCAGACTCTCAAACACTTTTCTATCATGAACTTCCCTACCAGAAACCTCTCTCGTGTCACTGACAGGACAGGAGCCTCAGTAGACGACACAGCAAGTAAACTGGGCAGTAAGACTACCTCGTTTAGCTCTACTACTATAAAGAACATGGGAGGAGAGGGAAAAAAAAAAAACCAAACAGCACCCAAAAAGGCAAAACAATATAAACCAACCAAAATAATATCACCCAAAAGCAGATCAATGAAACTCAGAGCCTAAAGTAGAAAATCTTTCGGATAAGGAAGTTTGATTACATTTACTCTCCCAAGAAAAACAGTAGTAGAGGGCTGGCAACATCTTTATATACTCTACATACTTCATAAGTTTTGTCTCACAATGCAAGCAAAGTTATTACAAAAGGAAAATACCAATCCCTTAACGTCTGCCATTAATTACACAAAAAACCCCAAACAAACAAGTTGTTTAAAAAGCTTTTTCTTCTGATTTTGTAACTTTTACACCAAAACTATAACAGACTTACAGAATGATCTATGTGCTCCCCCTGGACCAGCAACAAATTTCAGGTCTACCACCTTGCAGCCAGAAGAGCTGGAAATCAATGATTTAATCCCAGTAGAATAAAAGGAGTGCAGACACTGACTAAGCATGGTCCTTCTGGATTGTGCTGTTGATTTCTTTTCTTTTTTTTAATAGATATGCAGCGTCATCCAGACCCAAACTAACTAAGGCAAGCAAGGTTTGACAGAGGGAGGAGTAATATCAACCAGCAGAAAGCTTTATGGCTCTCAGAAAAATATTCACAGACTACCTCCCTGCCTCCCTCCAGCCACTTTCCCTCAGAGGTGCAAAACCCTCAGACCTTATATAAGGAATATTGTGGAAAGGTGCCTGGGAGTGTTTAGTGAAGAAATCACTGAATATGTCACTGTTTAGTAAGTAAGGTGTCTGCTCAAAGTTTTTTGTAATAAAGCTTTTACATCACAACTACATCCTTGCTAGAGTAAATTAAAATAATGTCTTCCTTACCGTGTGTCCTCTCTACTGATTTCAGATGTGGGATAATTTTGTGAAAGAGAGAACTAATGGGCAGGTTGGAAGGGGCAAGGATCTAATATGATGAAGTTTTCCTTGAGAATGTTTTTATACATCTTTACACTGATAGTTACCCACTGGAATGCTGAAAAAAATCCAGTGCCAATATTCTCTAGATGACAAAAGAAAAGGAAAAGGTAGAAAATGTTTGGAGCCTATACAAACAGTGCTTTCCACAAAATATTCTACATGCACTCTCTGCCTCAGCAAGGATGAATTCTTCAATGATTTCATAAGGTATGTGCTGTAGCAGCTGGTATCTTACGCTATGAAGAAGAAGAGTACCTGAGAAATGCGGGGGAACTTCCTACAGGAGAAGTCTGTGAATCCCAAGTCGTGGAAGCCTGCTGGAATCGAAGGGTTGTTCTGAATGAAAGGCTTTCCCATGGGATCTCTGGGAAGCTGCTTGTGGATGACTGCATTATGGCGCAGTAAGCCCCGATGAGTACGAAAGGTAATACAACAGATGTCACACCTGGAAAGGAAAGGAATAAAATATAAATGACTTACTGACTGCTGCAAGCATAAGAACTAGCATTCTTCTTGCTTTAGTACACCCTCCTTCCTCTCACTCCACGATACCAAGAACCTGCTAAATGCAAAAAAAAAAAAGCCACAGCATGTTAAAAACTGATCTCCACAAAAAGGTCATTTCAGTCAGTCACTTTCTACTAGTTTCTGGCTAATAAATTCACTGAAAGTTTAAAGAACATAGCTCATGAGAACTGACAATCCCACAAGGGCAGGCAGTAAAATGGCAGTTGAGACCACAGCCTTCTGACAACCTTCCCATTGTCCAACCAAAAATATTTCAATGGGCTTTACACCATTTCATTTTTACTAAGAAATACTGTTAAAACAAACAACATTTTAAAAAAATCAGTGACAAGAAGATGCTAAATCTGACTTAAGTAGCAAGCAGTTGCAAATGTATAAATAGCACCTTTTATAACCACTGCTTAAAACATACTATGGCACACCACTCAAATACCCATGTGTGAATCTTCCTCACACTGCCTTTCCATAACCTTCCACTGATTTTTTTTTTTTCCAAGCTGTTATGAGAAATATACTGTTTTAAAAGGAAAACCAGAAGGGGAGAAATGTCAGAGGGGGAAGACCTGAAACAGGTTCAACATTTCTGACACTCTTACATCTCCTTCACAGCCAGTGTGCCCTGAAGAAAAATGCAGAAACAATGTCTTTTTCTACCTGCACTTTACTGCTGTGATTTCTTGCTTTTCTTAAGTTCTCAGATCCCAAATTCAGCTAAACGAAGGTTTCTCACATGAAACATTGCATTAAATAACCAAAGCTGTGCTGCAGGCAGTAAGGGTTACACAGCAACATTTGGCCAACATGTAAACAAGCCTATTCCCTTTTAAATATCTGGAATTTGAGCTCTGCAGCATGACAGGTCACGTCCACTCTGCATTCAACTAGTGATACACAGTTTCACTCAACACAGTTCCTTGTGGTTACAGGTCCAGCTCCAAACCAAAGCACGGGCTTCACAGAAGCAAATACCAGTGAATGTGAAGCAGTCAGATTTTGTCAGTGAGAATATTAGAGGCACTAGGAGTTTTTCACATCTACCCCTGCCTTAGTTCTTCCCATACCATCCTTGCTTTCTACATCAAGGAAAAGGACATGTGCCTACTCATTAAAAAAACATCCTGCAATTCGAAATGACTTCTGACAAAATCCTGAAACCACTCCCTCCCTGTCCTGTCCTCAACAAACTCCCATTGTTGTTCTTTTTATCACTACATAAACTCCCACAGTCATTTTTTTATTCCCTGAAAATGAAGAGATAACCAAGTCACCCACAAAGCAACTGGACTCAGTCTCTGAGTGGTGAAAGAAGCAAGTGTGAAATGTATATAACACGGCCTTTGTTATCAGAGTACCCAGAAAGCTTGGACATAAATATTGTGCGCTGAACTTTTAATCTGCTTTAACTCTCCTGTCAATTCCCTTGCATCCTACCTTTACAACTATTGCTAGCACAGTTCCTCCAGTCTATTAAATACCAAACCAATGCCATTTACAAAGCTAATGTTTGCTTAAAAAGGTATGCTAAATGTGACAAGAACCTCTGGTGGTGTGGGGGAAATGTCAACACGTAGTACTTCTCCAGCATCAGGATCTACGGCCCTCCTCCAGCTCACTTGGCAGCACCTACTCTATGATGCAAAGCTTTCATCTTCAGTGAAAACAAAAACACACACAACCACCAAAACCACTGGGGGAAGAAGGGCATTAAAGGGTTAGAACAGTCACCTGAAGAAGTTGCAGGCTACTGAAATAAACTCACTTTTAGAGGGGATGAAAATGCCTTGCGTGAAAGCGAGCAGTGTTTCTGGCATGCTCCTCCTGGTACGTCAGCATACAAACAGCGAAGGCTTGGAAGCAATGCTCCTGCACCATCAGGAGCATCACTGGCTGTTCTGCAGAGGCACACAGACCCTCACACCTCAGGGCATCCTGAGGCATTTCCAGGCCAGTGTGCCCGGCCTCCTATGGCCCAGCAACCCAAAGCAGTGGGTGTATCCCCTTGTGTGTGATGAGGCAGGCACAGCTACCGCTGAGAGTACCACAGAGTTACTGGGAGAGCTGGCTCCTGCTACTGTATCCCCAAGATCTGGGCAGAGCAGGAGCCAGTGATCCTTGGCAAGCAGCCAGACGTCCTGCAGACGGGTAAGGTGTGACTCATCAACGTTGCAGCACTCCCTCACCTCCATTGGCTGTGCAACGTGCTGATTTTAAGCACTAGTTTATTTAGGTCTCCCATCAAAAGCTGCACTTCAGAGTTAATCTTTCTGAGCAGACACCCGTGTGAAAGTCCTCCACAGTACACCTGTATCAACTGCTATGCCTCAGGACAGTAAAAATTTGCAATTTAAAAATGGTGTTTTCCATGCAAAGGGAACTGCCTCCCCTCCCCCCAAGCAAAAGTAATGTATCTCACTCTTTTATAAAGCATAGAATGAAACACTCCTCTGTATTTTTCTCTTTCTTCCTTAGTCTTCTTTTCTTTTCCTTGCTGTGGGTGAAGAAGCAGCAAGTAAAAAGAGAAGTTGGGAAAAGGATTAAGCTCTTTTTCCATTCGGTCAAAAAGAAGCACCTGGCTGAAAGTGGAAACATATAGAAATTATGCCTGGCATTTCAAGATGCAGGCTCTTCAGGGCATATAAATGCACCGCGCCCTGGCTCAGCACTTTGCCCTGGTGGCACAGCTTACAGAATCACAGAGGAGCTGGAGCATGGCAGGGACCTGTGGATGCCATGTCTTTCTCTGTGCCCAGGCACACCTGTACAGGCAGCTGTAGTTTGGAGAGTTAGAATAAAAACAACTTGAGAAAAGCCCTCCCTGAGAGATGTGGAGCAGCCCCTCTAGGCAGGCTCCCCAGGCAAGCTAGTGACCTGGTGGGCTCCAGTCACCACACCGGCACCTGGTGCCCATGCTGCTTGCCCAAGGACAAGTGAGGTCTTTGTAAAGCTGCTCCCAATGCTGAGGGGTGTCACCATGCCACCAGTTCAGGAGATCTCCCAGGCTCTGCAGACCTCACTTGGGCTTGCTACAGATGCAAGCTATTTAAAATACACACCTCGTTTGCCCAAGTGTCTGCACAACGTTTTTTTTCTGCCCGTGTTTTTGCTGAATTCCTTCCCCTCACCTCAAGTAGGAAGGGAGTCTGAATTTCTCACAAATGACATGACTTGAGCTTTGAACACAATTTAGCAGTGCAGATGCAGACAGGGATCCATAGCACCTCCAAGAAAAACTCTGCAGGTACTAAGTGTCAAAACCTAATTAGTTAAGGCAAGCATCATGCTGCATTGACTAAGGCTTGTGTTAAATTTAGAATGGAGTAAGCTGACATGCCTAACAGTGCATTAACTGGAAGCATTAGCTTTTTTTAAGGAAGTCTAACCATTAATTTCTCTATTTTGTCATCAATACTATTTCCCATCTTTAGGTAGTGTCAATGCCTACTGTATTTTTAAATCTAAACCCACGGTCTAAGAAGGATAAGAGAAAGGAATCCTAGGTGACATTTCTTCATCTTGCTTAAATTGCTTTAAAAAAAAGTTAAAGTCTGAAAAGTCCAGCATATCAAATAAAGCATCTGAAACATATGGTAATATTTTGCTCATGATGAACTTAAAAAAAAAAAAAAAAACAACAAAAACCCCTCCATCTCCTTAAAATTTCATAAGTCTGTTCATGTGCAGTGCCAAGTCAAATACGGATGGCACGGTTGCAGAGAACAGTGATGGGAACAGGTTTTGAGATTGTTCGCAGAACAGGCAGAGCAGTGGCTCAACACCTGTGCAGAGATAAAAGCACTCTACTTGCAAGGTAAGTTTCCAGATGTATCTAATAAAAGCTGCTGTGCTATCATGTGATTGCTAGTCTTGGCCACAGTCTTCCATTTTTCTATAAATATGATTACAGAGTAGGGAGAAAAAAGCTGTTCAGTTCCAAGCACAGAGATTCAGTTTTAAGCGAAAAGGAAAAAACTGCTTTTAGCAGCTAAGGTTACTTGAAAATGAGCTCAATTCTCAATTGCCTTTATGTTTTGAAGTAATTCATACCTGTACACTGCCAATGTAATACCAGGGCTCTGGCTCGCTGGCAGAGGTGCACAAAGCAAGAGGATAAGAAAACACAACTACTAAAACACAAAAGCAGAACCAAAATATAACAGTGCAATGACCAGGCTGCGCTTGAAGCTCAGGCTACATATTACACCAGGCAAGTCTGTTTAATTATTACTACACCAGTGCACTTTTTCTTTTTTTTTTTTCAAATGCAGACAAGGTCTTTGTGTAAAAACACACTATTAAAAAGCTTTCTACTAAAATAAGTTAGTATTCTTGAAATCTGTAATGCTAATTAGGATATAAAAGCATTTTAACAGGCTTTAAGAAATAGTCAGTGCTCTGTGAAGCTTGTTCAAGAGGCAAGCCAGGATTTGCTACACCTTTGACAAGTGCCACCTATGCAAGAAAAGTTTACATTAGCAGTGTCTGTTGCCTTGTATTACACTCTCCTCTGAGATAATTCCAATTTCTCAGCAGAGGAAACAGCTTTTCTTCTTTAAGAAATGGAAAGACATTTTAGAAAGGAAATGCAGAGCCACAGTTTAAGCAAAATTAATCAGTCTTGATTTTGATTAGGAGTAATGCAGACAAACATTCAATCTTTCTAAATTTTATATTTCAGTAATCAAGATACAAATGCCAAATATTTATATCCATCATTATGTTACCAAGAAATTAAACAAACGCTATGCTCTACATTGCTTGAGACTGGCGGTGGGAAAGCGAAAGTGACATTTACTATTCTTCTACTTCCGAAACCACACAAGAGCAGACTAAACCCTGAAGTTTTCACCCATGCGGCTCACTAAGACAAAGCTGCTCATGTTGTGGATGTGAACAAAGAAAAACAGTGTGAATTTCTAG